AAAGCTGGAGAAGCCTGGGAATGGCAGCTGTGAAACCAGTGAGAAGTTTAAGCGCCTGTTCCAGGTGTTCCATGAGTCCTACAATGTGAATGATTGGCTTGTCAAGTCCGATTCCTGTACCAATTGTCGGGGCAACCAGCCCAAAGGTGTGGAGATTGAAAACCTGGGTAATCTGAAGTGCCTGAATGACCACAGCGAGGCCAAGAAAACCTTGTCCACTCCCAGCATGGTTATTGAGGATTGGCTTGTCCGGAACCATCAGGACCCATATAAAGTAGAGGAGGTCTGCAAAGCCAATGAGCCGTGTACAAGCTTTGCAGAGTGTGTGTGTGATGAAAATTGTGAGAAGGAAGCCATGTCTAAGTGGCTGCTGGAGAAAGAAGGAAAGGATAAAAATGGTATGCCTGTGGAACCAAAATTTGAATCAGAGAAGCATCCAGATTCCCTGAATATGTGGCTCTGTCCTTCCAGGAAAGACGCAGCAGAACAAGCTAAAATATCAAAGGCAATGGCTGCTTCCAAAATTGCTGATTCCTTCAAAATGATAAGGAACAGTTCCTTGTCAGAGTGGCTCATCATACCCTCATGCAAAGAAGCACATCCCAAAGATAGAGCTGGCAAACAAAAGCTTATGAGTCCGGTGGCCACTTCCTGGTGTCCCTTTAATACAGCTGACTGGGTCTTGCCAGGAAAGAAGACAGGAAACCTCAGCCAGTTATCCTCAGGAGAAGACAAGTGGCTACTACGAAAGAAGGCCAAGGTGGGCAGACATCAAAATAGCACCATTTGAAATATATTTAACAGGTTTTTACTTTCCTAATCCCAAACCTTGCAAATGGCCCAGATCCTTAAACATGTTAAGTGTTAAATTTTGCTTAAGTATTGATTTTGGTACAATATTAGCTACAGAATGGAGGATTTGTGAATATTCAGACTAAAGTTTTTGAACATTTTCCAGGTTCACAATCTCCTTCCTGCAGGGGGAGAAATACACAAAACACGCCAGCCTGTTTTATTGCTATTTATGGGAAAAAATTTAGGGGCAGAGGAAACAATTGTCACCTTTGCTCTTAAAGAGAGAATGCCTAACACTTATATTATTCCTTATTGACACTGTATTATTGGGAAGATTATTTGTAGCAACTCATCTTTTTGTCTTGCAGGAAGTATTACTTAATTCACCCCTGCAGGAGGAACATAACTTCCCCCCAGAACATAACTATGCCCTCCCAGCAGTTTGTGATCTCTTTGCCTGTATGCAGCTTAAAGTTGATAAAGAAAAGTGGCTATATCGAACTCCTCTACAGGTGGGTACATGCCAATAGTGTATGTATTAGATTTTACAGCTTGTTTTCTTATATATAAACTTGTACTTTGCCCATTAAACTAAATTCATATTAAGGGAATGAATATTAGGCAAATGAGGGGAGAGGGAGATAATAACATTTCAGGTATTTCACTTGAATTTGCTTTATGAAATAACTAGTACATATTTGAAAGTGGCATTTCAAGATATGATGTAGTTGTCGGGAATTTTTGGAATCTGTGTGGATTCAAATAGCTTATTGAGAAATGAGTGAGCTTTTAAGGTGGGGAGAAATGTTTTCATGCTACAGTGAAGTGCTTGTTTATCTGTGGACTTTTCTTTACAGATGTGAAGGAATGGAGTACTAGAATCAAGCAACATTTCTGCAAATCATCACATTTCCATGAGCCGAGTGACTGCAGCTTGCCAAATCATTGTGTTTCTGGGTGTGACCAGCCAGTTTAGTTCCTTTCCTGTCTAATTTTGAACTAGTGAAGAGAAATGTCATCACTTATGAATTACTGTGTAAAAGAAAAAGGCTGTTTGTTGATGCTGAGGTGATTCAGTTTCTTCTTACAATTCACCCCTACACTAGAAAGAAACAGAATTTTGGTGGATATTTCTTTCACAAGTCTCCATGGCTCCTTAGATTGTGTTGTTGTTAGTATATTAAAACTGTAGCTTTAAAAACAAGAGAGTTCTATCATCAAGGTGTTCATTTAAAGCTAGTCAACTTTGTTAACCTTTTGGTTACCCTTCTTTAGATGCTTCCCTTGCTGTGGGTTTTTTCCCATTAGTGGTGGAAGTCATTATTTCTTCTGTTTAAGTAATATATAGCATATTTCACACAAATAACCTTGAGAATAGTGATTTTTTTTTTCTTTTGGTAAACCAAAATGTGTGCCAACATCTTGGCAATTTTTGACATTAATTACAAAACATTTAACCCACAGGTCAGATTCTACATTTTCTTTTGTAAGAAATTAAAGCTACTGCAAATTTTGTATTTATTTCCTTAAGTGTTATTAAATTATCTAGTGAGCTCTTTTAGAAAAGCTCTAAATTGCTTTAAGATGATATTCTGGGTAATCCTAACCTATTTGAAAATATTCTGAAGAAATGCAAGCAAAAGAGCCCCAGTGCCGATTAATCAGAGAGCAAACGGCAAAACATGTTGGAAATATAGTACTTGAACTATTCATTATCCTACGCGTTGGTTATTGGTGTATCCTGTGTAAATGGAAGTTGAGCTTGACATTAACACTTGGTGCTTTTAACTAGGGATAAATTAAATATCCTTACTGTAAGCAGTGTACCTTGTACCTTTACCTCTAAAAGTGCAGTGAGCTGGCTGTTCTGAACACTTGTGCCTTGGGGTGTTTATTGAAGCTTTATGAAAACTGGTGTTTTCTCAAAATCCTTAAAGTCATGCCCACGATTTAAAGTTTCTCTGTAGGAGAGAGATGGGATTTGTTTTTAAATTCTTTGATAAGCTGCTTTCCAGGCTTCTAAATTAAGCCACTCAAACTTGCCCTGGTATATGGTATTGGAAATACTTTTAAAGTGTGTGATGTTATCATCTAGAAGCCCCTTTGGGGAAATTTCAGTCTTAACAGTGCCGTTTGCCATACAGCTTCATTGGAATTCTTGAACCGTGGCTGGAAAAAGCCCTCTATTATTTTATCTCCCCCAGACACCATTTGGAACTTTAATAAAGATCGTGGGTAAAAACGTTAAGGAGCCTTTCCATTATTTTAGGTTGCAGCAAACTTTGTAGTTTTTGAGGTTTAACACTGTGTATGCCTACATTTACATTAATCACTTTGCTAATTAGTATGTAAAAGTCTTTTGCATTGATGCATTTTGTACTTCCCTCCATTAAAAGTCTAACAGCCATAGTTGTGTGTATTTGTAAAAGTACCTTGTAACAAAATATTCTATCACATGTAAATGTGATACCCTTTGGTTAGTAGTACACTGATAACAAAAATTTTTATATTCAATAAAATATCTGTATTTTATGAATCTTAAGTTAGTAAGAACAGGTATGCTGCTACTAACTTCCATTTTCAGTCTGTTGCTACAAACTCTTCATGTTATTCCTTTTAATTTTCAATCTGCTAAAACTTTCTGCCAAATCCCTCCTTACTAGATGCATCCAAAAAGACCCCACTTTTTCCAGTCATAACCACCACTTGTTTAGAATTTATTATATATGTATAATCTGCAGTGCAATTTTATTTCTTCATATATAGAAACTAGAAATAACTTGCCTTTATTTCCTTTCACTTTCCCAAGGCTTCCTTAAAAACTTAAAACTCTTATCTATTACATCTCTTTTTCTAACTATCCCCAGAAAGGGGACCAGTTAATCTACACTAATAAAAGAGAAACATGGTAATTGGTGTACGACCACTACCCTTTTCATTGGCTAATCAGCGAGATATGCAAATTAACTGTCAGCCAAGATGGCGGCCGGCAGCCAGGCAGCTTGAAACTAACATGAGGCTTGCTTGCCTCAGTGACGGAGGATCGTTGGAGGAACGTTCCCCTGCCTGCGGCTGCAGGCCTCTGAGCAGGCAGTTTAAGAAACACTGTAACAAATACCGCCGACTTCAGCCAGCAGATTTGCAGCATTGTAAGCAAAGGCCAAAAACCTACTTTCAGCCGCTGAGGCCTAAGAGCTGGAGCCAAGCCTCAAGGTAAAGCTGGCCCAGAATAAAAAAAAAGAAAAAAAGGAGCGGTTGGGAACTTCAGTCACTCCCAGCCTGAAAACAGCCCTCAGCCCCTCACCCAGACTGGCCAGGCACCCCAGTGGGGACCCCCACCCTGATCCAGGACACCCTTCAGGGCAAACCAGCCGGCCCCACCCATGCACCAGGCCTCTATTCTATATAGTAAAAGGGTAATATGCCTCCCGGCACCGGGATCAGCGTGACAGGGGGCAGCGCCCAAACCCCGATTGCCCTGCGGCTCTGTGTGTGACAGGGGGTGGGGCCCCAACCCCCTGAGCAGCCCTGCTCTGTGTGTGATGGGGTAGAGCCATAACCTCCCCATCAGCCCTGCCCTGAGTGTGACAGTGGCGGCGCCCCAACCCCCTGATTGGCCCTGCTCTGTGCGTGACGGGGTGGGGCCGCAACCTCCCCATCGACCCTGCCTTGAGTGTGACAGGGGACGGTGCCCCAACCCCCCAATTGGCCCTACCCTGAGCGTGACTGAGGGTGGCATCACAACCTCCCAATCTGCCCCGCTCTGAGCCCGACCAGGGGCTGCACCTAGGGATTGGGCCTGTCCTCTGCCACCAGGGAGCAGGCCTAAGCCAGCAGGTCATTATCTCCCGAGGGGTCCCAGACTGTGAGAGGGCACGGGCCGGGCTGAGGGGACCCCCCCGCCCCCGCCCAGTGCACAAATTTTTGTGCACTGGGCCTCTAGTATATACATAATTAAGCATGATCACTGGACAGGTGGTTCTAGCACACTAATGGTATAATGTTTAATCTGAAGTATCTTGAGGTTATTTAGTGTCAACTCTATTGGAGGAAAATTTTAACCCATCTGTTAATACTGCCAGTAACCCTTCATTTCAATTCAAACATGAAAACATGTTTTAGCCTAGTTGGGGCAGAAAAAAATGCTAAGAGTAAATTTCACTTTAAAATCAGAAAGATGTTTTTAAATGGAAACACCCACTATGTTTACGTTGGAGTGGACTTTGGTTTTTCACACTTTATTGGGACTACAAGGCAATATTACAGTCTTGGATCATTAAATGAACAAACATGGTGAATATAGTACTGACAAGAATGACCTGAATGATGGGAGTAAGTGGTTTTCCAGTTCAGGAGGTAACAAAGAGAACAGGTGCAAGATCTTGAAAAAGAACCATATTACTCAGCCACCAAAGGGTTTTGGCTTCGACTCACTAATGGCTGGAAGGAAAGCCAGTCTAGTCAACCATCTTCATCACAGCAATTCGGAAATCTGCACAATTTTTCAAACTATTTGTAGGTATAGAAGAGAACTCCAGACGGACTCATAAATTGATCTGGATGACTACTAAAGTGTCCTCTAGTCACAAGTTGGCAGAATCTTCAGAGTGACTGTTGGAGCAAAGAGCCCTTCATGTGCTCCCAGTTGTTATATAGTGCATAGAGGCTAGTAAGTGTCAGTCCTGCTAGACCACCTCGTGCTACCCCTCGAAGACCACCTGGGGGAGAGAGAAAGAGATTTGTATTGCATAGTGTCCTAGCACCAAAGGATTAAAGGAGTATCAAGATGGAGACATAGCATTCATGTTTATAAATACTCCATCCCAAGCGGAGAGTAAAAGTTTTACAAGTGATATAATAAACCAAATCAGGAGATAAATGTCCTAAATCAGTGGTTCTCAACCTTCTGGCCCTTTAAATACAATTCTTCATGTTGTGACCCAACCATAAAATTATTTTTGTTGCTACTTCATAACTGTAATGTTGCTACTGTTATGATTTGTAATGTAAATATCTGATATGCAGAATGGTCTTAGGCGACGCCTGTGAAAGGGTCATTTGACCGCCAAAGGGGTCGCGACCCACAGGTTGAGAACCGCTGCCCTAAATGATCTGTTTACATACTATATTTCATTTAAAACATTTTTCAATGTCACAATTTTTACATAAGAATCAGTATTAAAAATTTGACTTTTCTCAATCTGACTTGTTCTTATACTTTTAAAGATCTTATGCTTATCATTGAAGTCTCAGCCAGATAAAGTATTTCCTGCTAATACAGACTTCACTGGCACTGTCAACTGACGATAGTAAGGCAATAATATAGACAAGGCGACACTCTCTTTGGAAATAGTGAGCAGCCTTTGGACTCTGCACATGTTCTGAAAATACTAACTTTAAAGATTCAAGTAGTGCTAATAAGTGGCTATAATGAAGCTTTGAGTTAGGTGCTGGTGAAGCACCACTCCCCTGCCCCCATTCCTACACTGATGTGTCGGACAATCTTCTACAACTACAAAGCAATGAGGCTTTTAGCATCATCACACTAGTTGAAAACATTCAAGGATTAAACTCTTTGCTTAACAACAAAATAGTTTTCGTGTTGAAAAGGATCAGCAATAGATATTTTGTTTGAAATGCAGAAACAAAAATGTTTCAACCAGTTATTTGAAAATAGCCCCCAAGTCTGCTAAGACAAATGGGGGTTACCAAAAGTAACAAGTATTTGATGTTTTTTACAGTTTCGTAAACAAGTAGGGACCATAAGCTTTAGGCAGCTACCTCTGCACCTGTGGAGTATTTTTTTCAAGTTGTGTCAGGATCGCAAAGGGAATGGAGCTGCAATCCAGTGATTACCTTATTGAGGTCTGAGACAGGAAATTCTGTGAAATTCAGTGATGTTGCCAAATTCACTTCAACCATTTCGGCAATGAATGTCCTGCCAGATGGTTTCAGCTGATAGATTAAATGGCCACTCCTTCCAGGAGCCTCTCTAGTCTGAAGAGTTCTGATAGCTGAGCTGCTTATTAGGCTTCCACTATGAAACGCCCTAATTATCTCTCTTAAACAGACCCAAACAGAAACTGCATACACAACATCTATAAGTAGATGTCAAATATGGGGAGGGGGAGAGTCAGAAACATCAAAAAAATTTAAGTAGGAGATATCTCCTTGAAGTCCAGATCTCTCTATCATCTTGTTAGAGTAGGCATTGCAGTTTAACTTGCAACTGTATTCAATGTGGTTGAAACAAAAGTAATGTACAGTCAATCTCATTTAAAACAATCTCAGTTTAATAAGGACCTATGAATTATTTTTGATGAGTATGTCAATAAAAAGTTCTATGGGCTGAAAGTGAACTATAATTAGACCAATTTCCTAAAATGGAAAAAACTACGAAGTACAGGAGAATAAAAACTAAGCTATCTGCCAGATCACTATGGCTCAGTTACTAAACCTAACCTTTTGAGTATAATGAGGGTTCTCTGAAACAGATTACAGAAATTTAATACTCTAACCCAGGGGAGGGCAAACTTTCTGACTCGAGGGCCACAATGGGTTCTTAAACTGGACCGGAGGGCCGGAACAAAAGCATGGATGGAGTGTTTGTGTGAACTAATAAATTCAAAGTAAACATCATTACATAAAAGGGTACGGTCTTTTTTTTTTTAGTTTTATTCATTTCAAACGGGCCGGATCCGGCCTGCGGGCCGTAGTTTGCCCACGGCTGCTCTAACCATTCTGAGTCAACACAAAGCAAAAGCTAAGGTGGCCTCACTGCTACTGATCAGAAAAATGATGGAAGGCAAGGAACTGAAAGCACAATAATGTCCATAGATACTCTTTCCTGGGATCAAACATTCGGACTAACTTCCCTGGACCTTTAGGTTAGACAGTGGTCAGCAAACTGCGGCTCGCGAGCCACATGTGGCTCTTTGGCCCCTTGAGTGTGGCTCTTCCTAAGCCTTAGGAGTACCCTAATTAAGTTAATAACAATGTACCTACCTATACAATTTAAGTTTAAAAAATCTGGCTCTCAAAAGAAATTTCAATTGTTGTACTGTTGAGATTTGGCTCTGTTGACTAATGAGTTTGCCGACCACTGGACTAGGGCAGTGGTTGGCAAACTGCAGCCCCTTGAGTGTGGCTCTTCCACAAAATACTACGTGCGGGCGCGCACGTACAGTGCTATTGAAACTTCATGGCCACGCTGAAGGGGCCAAAGAGCTACATGTGGCTCGCGAGCCGCAGTTTGCCGATCACTGGTTAGGAGGTTGCAGACCCAGAGCTCTGAAGTCTGCCTGTGGGTTTGGAAATAGCTGCTAACTGCCTGCCAGTTGGCCCACTGCTTTGAGTATCTTAACATAGCTTCTACTTGACCCTTTTGGAAAGATTTTTACACTAGCTTTCAGCCATCAGATGAACCTCCTGGGCATAGGCACTGGGGTAACAATGAAACTGGAAGGCTTTCCGATCTTTGGGACATCAATGGCATATTAAGTGTCATTAACAGTGTATCCCCCAGAAAGCTTTCTACTTTCTGACCAAAATAAAACAAACTTAGTTCAAGTTACTTCTTTGAAGACTAGAAAAAAATTATTTCCAGCAAAAAAACACCAAAAATATGCAGTGTTTGAGATAGTAAGCACAGTTAATCCTTACTCTAGGGTAGCCTTTTATCACATACCAGCCATGTTTTAGTTTTAACTCTTACCACTAACTTTAGAGTTTTCAACTGGTTGATCTATTAAAAGTTTGAGGACCTTGGCTTTAAGCTTTCTGTAATCAACTTCTGGCTAACTAAGCACAGGAAGTTGATTAGCAAATATCTTGTTCTGAACACAGAGTAATCAAATAAGGCCAACGGTCGGTGCCTGTAAAGCACAACAAACAAGAGACGTGTTTCACAGATTTACCTTCCATCTTTTGGATCCTTACACAACTAACAGCGAGGGCAAATATTCCTTCTAATCATGGGGAAATGAGGCCCAGAATCTTTAAATGCCTTTTGGGAGGCAGAGAGCTGGCTAATGGCAGAGCTTATATATTGAACTGATAATTACTTTAGAGCAGGAATTGGCAAATTTTTCTTAAAATGGACAGAAAATAAGTATTTTAGGCTCTGAGGGACCAATGGCTATTATGCAGTACTTATATAAGCATTTAAAATGTAGCTAAAAAAAAAAAAAGTAAAGCATAAGGAATAGACAGGCATCTAGCAAAAGGGAACTGGTGGCCCCTGCTTTAGAAGAACAACCTTACCTACACACACTGAGATGGCTACTAAACATTTAAAATTTTGCATGAACTTGACAATTGTTTTGTATTACTTTTAAAAATTGTTTTAAAATACATGTAACATGGTTATTTACCGTAAGTGCCCAGTTCAGTAGCATTAAGTACACTGGCAATGCTGTGCTACCATCATCATCCATCTCCAGAGAACTTCCATCTTGCAAAACTGAAACTCTGTGCCCACTACACTGTGTCTCTCCACCCCACTCCCAAAGTATGCCTGCTTTTTATGTTGTTAAATCTTTACTCACTTTTGTTATCATCAAAGTAGCCCAATACACAATTTAAAAGTCAAGATAGCACTAAAAGACTTTCATTATGCACAATTGTCTGGTGCAGTCCCATCCTCACCTTAATCCCCTGTTCCCTAATTGTCTTTATCTTCATGATTCTAAAGAATATGATTATCGCCCTAGCTGGTTTGGCTCAGTGGATAAAGCATTGGCCCGTGGAATGAAGGGTCCCGGATTCGATTCTGGTCAAGGGCATGTACCTTGGTTGCAGGCTTGATCCCTAGCCCTTGTGGTTGTGCTTACAGTAGGCAACCAATTGATCTGTCTCTCTCACATGGACGTTTCTCTCTATCTCTCCCCCTCCCTTTCACGCCCTCTAAAAATCAATGGAGCCCAGCCGGCGTGGCTTAGTGGTTGAGTGTCGACCTATGAACCAGGTGGTCACAACTGATGAAATGAGGGCATAGTGAGAAAAAGGCAGAAATCAAAGGTGACTGGGTCACTGGAGGCTGTTTCCTGCTTCCCTGTTTTTTCTTGTTGCTGTTAGAGTGGAAGTGATATATGACTTTGAACAGTAGACACTGACTTTGCTGTGCTTCCCTCAGCACAGTCTCACCCTCTCTCCCATGCAGTGCCAGTTCTTCCGTGCAACACTACACACACTAAACTATCTCAGCTGTTTTTGACTCCCCACATTACTGCGTCCGTTTAGGACTATTTTCACAGATCCTTAGTCTTTTTCAAGGGGGCTTTTCTATGGGTGGTAGGGAGTGTCCCAGACTCTTTCAGAATCTTATGCAAGTTTTAGAGGGTTTATCAACCCTGAGTGAATATCTCCTGGTATAAACTTTGTACTCAGAAGAAGAGTGAAAGTTTAACTCTCTCTGGAAGTTACAAACAATTTAAGGTTTACAAGTAAAAATAAATGCTAGTATTTAGGAGGTAAGATTAACGGATGTCTAGGCCAAATTCTTTCCTGTGGCCTGTGAAGCTCTATCTGCTCCATGATTTGGTCCCTTGCCATTTTTAAAAAAAAATGTATTTTATTGATTTTTTACAGAAAGGAAGGGAGAGGGATAGAGAGTTAGAAACATCGATGAGAGAAAAACATACATCAGCTTCCCCCTGCACACTCCCCACTGGGGACGTGCCCGCAACCAAGGAACATGCCCTTAACCGGAATCGAACCT